TGGACAGAAGACTAGAAAACCATCTCTTCCCTGGACTTTCACTTCTAATTGCGAAGTTTCCTGGTTAAACAAGAAAATAAACCATTTTTTTTCTTTGTATATCAAAAGTCATGATATACCTAAAGAAAAAGCCACCTTCAACAAAATATCATTTGCACATACTATTGTACCCTCATTTTTTTAAGCTATATTTATATTTCAAAGGAAGCTGACAGACTTGCTTAGCTTTCAGAGCTTTCTGTTCCGTTTATTTATTTATTTATTTATTTATTAGAAAAAAAAAATACGGCAGTAAAGTTGCTTGGTGCTGGGATGATACTTAAACCAAACACACCAACAGTATCAATGCCAGCCCTGCAGGCAAAAGAACAGTCTGGGGAAGATGCCGTAGTTTTAGAAAGGTGCTTTGAGAAAGGGCTGCTTCACAGGAATCAATACAATCTCCCCATAGGTTCATGATGTAAAATTCTATAATCAAGGCTTGTAGATTTGTAATTATGGTATGTCAGCCACATTTAAACAAGAGTGTTAAAAGATTGTTAAAGTTAAACTAACACAATTGCAATGTGAATTGTCTTAGTCTCATTCTAATCTACCGGTGTCACTTTCATTTAATCAGATAGAAACTATGGGCAAATGTCAGTGCTATTTTCACATGCCCCAACTTACTTTGTTCACAGTAGTTTTTAAAACCATTGCCAATCTGAAATGGATATAAGATGCCTTATTTTTTTTTTTTTTCCCCCTGCTCTATTAACTCATTATCAGGCTGTCTGAGCTTGGATTTACGGAGAATGTCTCCTCTGAGATAAATAAATTACTTATAAGGGTGTAAGGCACAAATATAATGTGTATTATTATTATACTCATCAATTCCTTTTATTTAATTTATATGATTGGCTAACAAAAGTTTGTAGTCACCGAGAGTGTGGTTATCAAATTTATCAAAAAAGGCAAAAGATTCTTTCCTGTCCTAGTTCAGGTTTTTTAACATTAATATAATGTTAAATATAATAAACACTAAAATACATAAATCATCCATGACCTACAGAAGACTCCTGAGAGAGCTGCTTAGAGAATCTATGCTATCTGGATAGAAAGAAATATATTTAACAGGAAGATGCTAGTCTTTGTTCTTAGTTTGGGAAAAGTGGTAAATTAGGAGATCAAGAAAAGACAAATGAAAACACCAGTATCCAAAAGTTCAATAAAGCCTAATCATTCTTGTCCCCATCTTTACCCTAAAAGTTGAGAGTGCTTGAAAACCACTATTATACAAGAAATTCAATGGACTTTTCTAAATCATGAAGCCATGAAAAAATAAGGCAAATTAACTGAAAAGTCGGTGGCCTTATGGCACATTTAATAAGCGTCCATGTGGGTTCCCTCACATGGTGACTGAACAAAGGTACCTTAGCTTTTTGGCATCCTAATCACAACTAAGCATAGTAGCTCCATTCCGAAATGACAGAATAACATTAAAATTCCTATATCAACTCAAGTTACATGTGCTCCCACTGTAAATAACATTTTTGAGGCCCTATGTGCAAATATTACTTAGGAGACCATTCAATGTTTAATAATGATCCAACTTTTTCTTCTGATCATTGAATTCAGAAATAACATTGGAGTGAACAGATATCATTTTTCTGATTAATGGTAACAGCATCAACAACAGACCATTGTGATGACCTGTTCATAGAGATTTGGGGTTTATTTTGGGTGCTGTTTCAAATCTTTGGGGGAAAACAGATAGGAGTAATATGGTATTTTTTTCCACCAGGCATCACTACTTCCATAAGACACTCCCGAACTGAGAGGTCCTCATTTATGAAGGCTGGGTGTTTGCTAAAACATTGAAGACCAGCAGCAGTCCAGTCGTCTATGCAGCTGTCACAGATCCAGGAACTACTGCTGTCAATATCTAAGGTAGGTTAATTCTGGAAAAGCTCCATGTGTCACACACATTCAGGCCACATCCAGAATCACATGCAAGACCTATTATTTCTATTAAAATATTACACAATGTATAAAACGTTTAATCTCAAGACTATATTACTGAAATAAAAACGGAATTTTAAGAGAGTAGCATTAGAGAGATGAAAGTATTCAGCCATATTATAATTTTAAATTATGATGATTCATTGTGATGAAATGCTAAATGAATCAATGTGAATGAGAGATAGGGTCTCATAACAGTCAGGATTCCTATTTTACCACCCAAGAAACTACAGTCAGCAGCACTCAAAAATTTTAAGTAGGATAAATAAAAATGTGGCTTGAAAGTCACCATTATGCTTGTTTCATCAAAAAAAAAAAACAAAAAAAAAACAAAAAAAACAAAAACAAAAACAAACAAACAAACAAAAAAAAACAAGCTCCAGATAAATGTGCGATTTAGACATGAAGACTCCTATAATGTCATCAGAGGAGATTATGTTGCTCATGCACTTCCATGTCCTTCCCCTTCTTCCTACTGGATCTCTGTGCAAAGCAGCTGAACATGAAGGAAACTTCCAGTTTGCACTCAGAGACAGCAGCGATTATGTAACGTCAGAGGAATGCCCACCTAGGCCATGCTCCAAAACACACCGCAGCCTTGTAACTCCCCAACTCCAAGTTGCCACTGCTTTATGTTAGGCTAACAGTTTAGGTCAATAGTTTAGTTCAGTGTTAGGTCAGCAACAGTCATGCTTTGCCTGGACTTGACTTGGCCAGTTCAGAGCTTTCTTTTAGGTCATTTAACTGTAACCAATATTACCTAATGCCTAGCCGAAGAAGAAAATGCAAGATGTGAAAGGTGTTAACAAACATAAAAATGACTCCAAGCAGACTCAGAGATGGAAGAAACCATCAACATCACACTGCTCTGAGTGAAGGATCTGGGATCCTGATAATTTGCTAAAATCCCTACCTAGTGAAAGGACTAGCATTACCCCAGGGAAAGGAAGCTTTTAGAAACACATTAGAAACATTAGAAAGTCTATGAACTACTGAACTGCGGTTAGCATCATTGTAACTGGACTGACACCAGTGCAGTTGGGTGTAACAAGTTGGTTACAAATCTAAGCAACTTACCCTGCAACTTGTAGGCAACAAATTTGTAACATCAAACCAATCATCCATTGATCCAGAGTATAGGGCAACGGAAGAGGCCAACTGAGCATACGACAGGAAAGGAACATCACTAACTTCTAACCTCTTGCCCTCAGCAAGTCACAGAGCCCTCTCAGATTTGCTTAAACTGAAAAGTGGAGAAATGCAAACCAAGAACGAGCCAGCCAATCTCAGAGCTACAAGCATGCAAAGCCATGGCGTAAAGACATGAGGCCAGGCCCATGGGCAAGCATTTTCCCTACAGATCCCTGCTCATATCACTGCCAGGTCCATGGGGATAAAAGTGCACGGTACAAGAGTCACTCTGTGACCTGCTGTGAGCTCTCCACACAACGGTCCCTTGCTAACACACACTTTCTCCTCTCTTTCCTGGTCCATAAACATGAGGAAAAAACATTGTACAGGCAACTGCTGTAATAATTTCTTACTAAAGGACATTCACCTAAAGTGTTATTACAGAATTTTAATTAGAGAACTGTGCACTACTATCAAATAGCAGCAATAGCCCAGACTACAGAAACCTCTACAAGCTACTAACATACAGCTGTGTTTTATTGTCTATAACAGCTCTCTCAGAAGTATCTGCACACAAATAAACTTTATGTTTGGTATCAGGAAGATCATACAGACTGAGAAAATGCTAGTTCAAATAATTCTAGTTTTACAGTCAAAGTATTTTGAAGAAATAAAACACAAGCCATTTACAAATGCAAATATGATGTTTACAGCGCTCCTGTTCAGCGTAGGCACTAAGCATAATGCAAGGTAATGAAGGGGATGCAAAGCAGGAGGAAGTCACTAATACGCTAAATGAAACTTTGCTGAAGTTTCCTAGCTTATAATAGACACATTCACACACAAGTTTATGTGCAGCAAAAGAAAAGGATCATATAATCCATTTCTTGTCTGCAGCTATGTTTCAGAACTGCTCACCACTTTAAGCTTAGGAATACAAGATGACTTTATCTGGCATAAACATAATGATGAAACCCATATCCATTTTCCTCTCCCACTCCAGAGTCCAGCCTTTCAAGCATAATCAGGTATGAGAAAACAGGCTTCTCGCTGTGTGTGGTCTCTGTCTAGCTGACATTAAACAAGCCCTAAGTATGGAACAGGCCTATCAGCATCCCGGCCTGGCACTAACAACAACCCTCACTCCCGCCCATGCTTGAGTCAGTGCAGGTTCTGTAGGACTCGGCCTTAAAAAAAACTCGCTATGAACACAATAGATAATAGCGAAGTCCAACGCTCTGCTAGGCACATTAGGAGAGATCCGCATGGCCAAATTGCAACCTTTCTTAAAAACAAGGACTAGGTTAAAATCGAATGGGCCCTGTAGAACAACACTTACCAGCTTTGCAGCGTGCGCGATGGGATGACAAACGCCCTGCTCGTCATTTTGGAGCTACGCGCAGTTTTACCGCGTTTGGGTCGAACGCCCCCGGCTTTCGGGGTGCGCGAGGCCTCGGGCAGGGCCGCTCTGCGCCCTGCGGGGCGGCTCGGCTGGCGGAGGCTCCCGCGGAGAGCGCAGAGCCGGCGCGGAGCTGCGCTCCCGGGAGCCCGGCAGCCGCCGGAGCAAGGGCCCCGCCGCACACCCCATCCCATCCCACCCCATCCCATCCCATCCCATCCCATCCCATCCCATCCCACCGCGAGCCGGGCCGGGCCCGGCGCCCCCGCCCAGCCCCGCGGGGCCGTCGCCGCCGCGGCAGAACCGGCCGCGCTCGGGGCGGGCGGCGGCGGCCGCCGAAGGGTCGCGCTCCCCTGAAGCCCCTCGGAGGCAGCTCCCGCCTGCCCTGCCCCGCCCCAACGGCTCCCAACGGCTCCCAACGGCTCCCGCGCGGCCGGCGGCGGCGGGGGACGGCGCGGCGGGCACTCACCGCCTCACGACGCCGGACTTGATCTTGATCTGCCTGAGGCGCGGGTCGGCCATGGCGGCGGGGCGGGCGGCGCG